CTTTGCATTGATTCCAGTGTAGATTAAAATAAAACAGTTGAAAAATAAACCCTTGTAATTTACTTAAAAAATTTCTTTTGTTCATTTTGGATAATCTGTTCCTGAATGAATAAAATAGACGGTTTAGGACGAGAGCCTCATATATTTAAATATATTATAGAGGCAGTTTTTGTGACTTTAGAAATACCTCAGTGCATTTAAATCTAGCCACATAGACTCTGCAGAACTGCTCTGTGGTGGGGATTGATGCTGGTGGCTCCTTGGAGTCACGGTATATTTGCATAAGTAAGCATACAACTGCTATTACCAATTTAATAAAGTTACCTATTTAATAATCCCTTTAAAACTTGGACGGTAGGGGTGCCTGGGTGGCTCAGTCGGTTAATTTCTGCCTTCAGCTCATGTTGTGATCCCAGGGTCCTGGGATTGAACCCTGTGTTGGGCTCCCTGCTCAGTGGGGAGCCTGCCTCTCCTGTTCCCTCTGCCCTCCCCCCTGCTTGTGCTCCCTCTCTCTCTTTCTCTCACAGATAAATAAATAAAGACTTAAAAAAAATAAAACCCGGACTATAAATCAGAAGTGGCTACCAGTGATAAAGATTTAATGGAAGTAAATCTACCATTTTGGATGTGGTTTTTAGGCCATTTTTAAATCTTGGAAATCTTTTGAAAATCTGACCAAAGCAACTGGATCTTTTCCAAATTGGACTCACCAGACAAAATTGTTGCAGAAAAGTCAGGGGATTTGCAGGACTGCCTCCCCCTGCCCCCCCTGCCCCCCCATCCATGGGTAGCTCAATTTTAAATTCATGATTTAACTGGTTAGTTAAACTGGTCCATTCATTGAATCTTTCAGCCATTCATTCATGAGCTAGGCTCTAGGCATTGTAGGAAGCTCTGATTTTTAACTCTCTCCTGACAGTAATAATCTTAAACAAATTCAAGAGCCCATTTTCATATTGAAATAAAAGGCATAACTTATATACTGTATGTCTCTAACTTAGGCTTTTTATAGGTTTAGGACTTACTTTCTGCACCCCAAGAGATAACAGCAACTACCTAGTTTATCATCCATATTCCTCTTGCTTCACTACAGCTTTTAAAAATTTCCCTTTAGCTATCCATTTCTATCCCTTATAGGTATAGTCGTATCATCTTCTGTTGTCTTTCCTCCTAAATCTTTATTCGTAAACATTTCTTTGTGCTTCCATATAGCCATCATCTTTTTTTTTTTTTTAAGATTTTATTTATTTACTTGAGAGACAGCACGAGAGAGCGAGAGAGAGAGATCACTAGCAGGAGGGGAGGGTAGAGGGAGGAGCAGACTCCTGGCTGAGCAGGGAGCCTGATGTGGGGCTCGATCCCAGGACCCTGGGATCATGACCTGAGCTGAAGGCAGACGCTTAACCGACTGAGCCACCCAGGTGCCCTAGCCATCATCTTTAATGCTGCACAGTATTCTAGTAAGTTGATGTACCTCTTAAATGTTGGACATAAAGGTTATTTCCAATTTTACACTTTTTGGACAATGTTACAAATGACTGCTTTAAGTAGTTTTTTCAGACTTGTCTTGGATTAGTTTTTTTTAGAATAGATTCTTAAGGATGGGAGCAATGATTCATTCATTCGTGACATTTTTATTAAGCACCTAGTATGTTCCCGACTGGTTCAAAAGCTTGGCCATTTCCATGACACTTGATATGCTTTGACAGTCTTTCCAAATTTGCTAGAGAACTATTTAACCAATTGAGTCAGCTCTTCATTGTCTGTCTAGCCCAATAGATCTGTGCTTCCTCATTACTCATCTGGATGAATATTTAGAAGTAAGCTAAATAAAGCATTATAAGGAAGGCACATCTGAAGAAATGGCAGTGTGTGGCTGAGTGAGAAGAGCATGCCTTTAGAACTACTTGCTGTGTGGATAATTTACACAACTTGACATTCTTTTGATGTGATAATTGAGAGATGAAGCTTTGACCAAATCAGAGGTTTAGATCACTGTACAGACTTAAACATCTTAAATTAAATAACTTCGATTAATTTAAATCACTCAGAAAACTTCAACTTGAAATTTTTAAAAAGCAAAACCAAAATACACAGTTTTGTAAATGTGTCCAAATTTTTATTTTGTGAGCATTTATTGGTTGCCTTGTACGTGCTAGGAAAACAGATGTGAATGTGACATTGCATATTCTTAATTAGTAGGGAGAGACAGGCACATATGTAAACAAATACTTGCTACAGCATACCGTGAGCTCTGTAAGAGGGTTTACACGACCAGGAGTGTCCGGGAGCAGAACTTTCCATGTCCTTTTATCCAGATTTCTTACTATACAGGACCCCCGCCCCACTTTTTTAACTTTCATGGTTTACTTTTACATCCTGGGAGAGGAAAGAACATTGTTAGAGAGTACGGTAAATACAAATGATTTAGTTGGAATGAAAACTCAGTTTTGAAATATATGTATAGTTTCAAAAGCAAGTAACTAAAGGACTTTTTCCCTTTTGATTACAGTGTGGCTGGCTGGTTGAAGAGAAGTCATGGGTTGATGGTTTTCTGAAAAGTCACTAGTTTCTTTGTAAACGGAATTTCTGATAATCATTGGAAGGGACAAAAATAACATAATAGACCTGTGCATGCTGTCATTAGTCATGGCAAAAGTATTCTAATATAATGATTTTTTTTTTTTCCAGTCACCTGAGCTAAAGTAGAGCAAAAGCAGTAGTCTACCTACTTTTCTGGAACACTGTGGTAGAGCCTGACAGCATGGGTTCAGTTGTAACTGCTGGTTACTAAGTGTCACCTCAGATCTTAACAACACCCGTGCTTCCAGTTCCTCAGTGGTAAATTGGAGATCATGATAGTATCCACTTCATAGGGCTGTAGAATCCAATAGATACTGCTCTGTATGCATCTTAGTCAATCTCAGAGTAGCATTTACTGCTGTTGACCTCTTTGTCCCTCTTAATATACTGTTCCTCTTAGCTCCTGAGACCCCAAACTCTAGTTCTTTTCTTCTCCTACCTTCTACTTCTTTTCATTTGTGTTGTTTGTTCTTTTTCTGTCTGATTTCTAAATGTCAGATGCCTGTGGGTCCTTTCCTTTCTTCCTTTTTACTCCTTTCCAAGGTGATCCATTAATCTCATGGCTTTAAAATCATCTATACGCCAAGGAGCCCTTAAATGTCTCTAGTCCTGACCTGTCCAGCTCTCAGGTCCAGATTCATATGTCTGATTACCTCCTGGATATTGCTTCTTTAACACATTCCAACCTCTGGATCCCCCCCCCCCCAAACAAGTAAACAAAGAAAGCTTTCCCTATCCCAGCCATCTCCGAGGGTAAATGGCCTTACATCTGTGACTCATCCTTGATTCTTTCCTTTTCTTTACCCCATGTGTATCCAGGCCAGCAGCAGATAATACTTCCAGAGTAGATTTTGAATCAATCTACTTCTGTCTCCTCTGCCACTATCCCGGTCCAAGTCATCATCATTGCTTGCCACCTCCATAGGCTTCTAACTTGTCCCCTCCCTGTCTGTTCAATACAGAGAGCCACCAGAATGATTTTTTTTTTAAAGCAAAAATAAAATCCTGTCACATTTCTGTTTAAGATCAACTAATGGCTTCCTGTGACACATAAGATAAAATCGAATCTCTCCTTTTCATAGCTTACACAACTGGGCTCAGTTTCCTTAGTGAGAAAATTAGGGTACTTGTGAATTTAACTAAAATATAAGCTCCTGGAGGGCACGGACTTTTTTTCTGCTTTGTTCATTGTTATTTTCCCAGTGCCTGGAATAGTGTGTGAATGTAATGAGCATTTAATAAATACGTGTTAAATGAATAAACAACTCAAGGTTGCTACAGATTATATGGTACCCCAAAAGCCTTTCTTCTTTCCTCTTTCAGAATAGCATATTATACTTTGTATTTTCTGCATTATGTAGAAAGTCCAGCAAACGCTTCTGGTTCAGTCTCCTTTCTTTTCCCTTCTTGCCTTCTATAATTTACCCCCTGCTCCCCCCCCGACCCCCGTTTTATTCTTCATATCTGAGGACATATTTGGGTCACTGGGAGAGGATAGATGACTACATAGGACGAGAAACAGAATAGAAATTGAGAAGGAACCCTGAGAATAATAGCAACCACATTTTAAAAATAAGCATTTTCTGCAGAAATCTTTGAATATATTCAAAAATATTAGAATAGAATAATTAATCCTCATCTCTTCATTGCCCAATTTCAACGGTTAAATCAACTCCTGGCCATCCTTTGAGCAACCAGCATTTAATCTGGAAATTGCATATGGTAAAAAAATACCTAATTAGTTTATAGAGATTTGTATCACAGATACATCTTATCCTGGGCATCATTACTATTTTTTTAAAGTTTATTTATTTTTAAGTACTCTCTATACCCAATGTGTGGCTTGAACTCATGACCCCAAGATCAAGAGTTGCATGCTCTTCTGACTGAGCCAGCCAGGCACCCTGGTAGTTTGTAAACCAACTGAGAACAGATTAGGTATGATTTCAAGGGTGTTAGGTTCAGCAATATCTTTTCTGATTTGCTTTTTGTAAATGTCTGAAATTTTACCATTAGTTTGACTGTAAATTTGCAAATTGTGAATAAGCCTGAGAAGGGAAATACATAAAGCCCATTAGCAGTTATTTATATCTTAGTGTAAATTGGTTAATTAGACGCATGCTTGACCGGTAAGTAGAGCAGGCTTTGATGGGAGGTCTAAAATCAAAGGGACCTGGCATGGGGATGGCCATCTAAGGACAAGGAGTACTGTTCAAGAGGCAGGAGGTGCAGCTCTGCCACTTTCCAACTTTGCCTAGAGGTGGTCCTGGCCTTGAAGCATGTAGAAAGAGCTCCCCGTCCCAGTTTGGTGGTATTCCTGTCATCTGTCATCTGGGTTCCCTTTGGCTGGCTGCAAACCTTGTGTAAGGTTGCCCAGGAGGTGCTTCCAGCTAACTCTGCTGCTTGTTTATTTTTAGGTATCTTGCAATATATTCAGAACTCTCCCTCCTAGTGACAGCAATGAATTTGATCCAGAAGAAGATGAACCTACCCTTGAGGCATCCTGGCCACACTTACAGGTACTTTGAACTACCATTTGTTATAAAAGAAAGCTCCATTAACTCATTAGCCGATTAGCATGGGAATTCCTTGAAGGCCTTTATTCACCCAGAAATCAAATTAGAGTATATTAATGGAAAGCTAGAGAATGCTCTCTGTGTTTCTTCTCTTGGTAATTAGGATGCCAAAAGAATAAAATAATAAGTTGTGGTGTAATGCTTTAGTGTGGTTCCTCCCAGGTTGTGGGTCCAGCCAGCAGTTCTTGCTTTTTGATAAGAGCTTCTATGTGATCCTGCCTGCTGGAGCCTCCAACAGGAACTGAACTATTTTCATATTAATATTAGTTGGATGTGATTAGGTCATAGAGTTTATATCTCATTTTCATCAGCAGGTACCCTGGGGATTGAATGCCTGTCTTCATGATAGCCACAAATGTGTTTCTGCAGCCTGGAAGGGCAAAAACAAATTGCAAGAGTTATTTCATAGTGTTGTAAGGAAGAGCAACAGCCGATAGGAAGTTTGTATGAAAGCCAGTTTTGTTCTCTTGCACTGGGAAGGCCATGTTTTCCAGTCATGCGCATATGCCGGGACAGATCAGGGCCATCCCTGTATCTCCTTTGCCAGCACCAGGCCCATCTGTACTCTTTTTACTTACCCATACTGGTCATTTTCAATCTTCCCTTCCTGGCCGCTCGCGCTGCAGGCCAACATTTCTCCAAGGAACAGAACAAGGAAATGTGAATGGCATGCGCCCCCAAGCTATCTTTCCATTGAGTTAGAATGTCCTCAGAGGCTGGATGACAACCAGCCAGGAGGGAAGGGGTGGTAGAGAGGGACTAAAACCTTGTACACTTTCAGGCAGAGGCAGAAGCCATTGCATCACGACTACTTGTTGACTTTTGAAAGAGCAGAAAACTGTACCTCAGTGAGACGAAGCCTAGAAGGTGTCTACAAGTTTCTTTTTTCCCCACTTCAGAATTTCTGACATCAATTTGCAACTTTCCCTGTCCTGCTTTGGCAACTCAAGGTTGCTACGGATACACATGTATGCTGTTTCCCTAGTTATAGAGAGAGCTTTCTGGGCCTCTGTTTCCTCAGCTCTTACCCAGGCGTGTTATACATATGTATTCCTGCTGCCAATGCCAAGATTGAGTAAATTAGTTAAAATGCTGTGGCTGATTTCCTATTTTAGCTGCTTGATTTTTTTTTTTTTTTTTTAAGGTGTCAGACATACTATCTGCAGTCTAAGAAATTTGGAAAATTATTTGTGCTTTTCATGGTGTATCCCAGATTGTGACAAAAATTAAAATAAAAAAAATCATTCTTTTGAATAGGTGGACTTCTTGTCATGCCTTATTCCTAATGTTTGGCACCAATTCATAAAGTGCAGTGTAGTCTGGAGGAAAAAAAAAATTTTTTTTTTTTTAAAGATTTATTTTTTTTGACAGAGAGAGACACAGTGAGAGAGGGAACACAAGCAGGGGGAGTGGGAGAGGGAGAGGCAGGCTTCCTGCGGAGCGGGGAGCCCGATGCGGGGCTCGATCCCAGGACCTGGGATCATGACCCGAGCCGAAGGCAGACACTTAACGACTGAGCCACCCAGGCGCCCCTAGTCTGGAAGAAATTTAAAAAACAAAACAAACAAGATAATCTCAGGAAGGTCCCACATCTTATGGTGGAAAAGACAGGAAGAAAGCTGTCTTCAAAGCTTCAACTTGTCTTCTCTACATCCCAGAGACAGTAGACTACTCTTGCCATTTGCAAGAACTTTTTGAATGCTCTAAATCATGATCACCAGAGATAGAAATTTCCTCTAAAGCATAGTAAAGTTGAATTGAGTATTTCAGTTAATCCTTCCTAAGCTTAATGACTCTATAAAATACAGACCAAATTAATTTCTAAAGCTATGAAGCTAAATGCTGTCACCAAAAATCTCTAGCTTACACTGTGTCATTCCTACAGGAGCATTAACTGTTAGTTCACCTGAAACTCTAAAACCAAAGTGACAATGAGGAGCGATGATGAGACCTCTACCCTTATGATGTAAAGTCCCGCAAACTGTATTCCAAAACGGTCTGGCTTTATCTGTGTTGACACCCTGTTCAAGCCTATAATCCTCTGATCCCTGCTTTAGCTTAGGGGGAAATATGACTTAGACTGGATCAGGTAAAGGAAACCTACTTTTAAAATTCATAAATTAACCGTCATTTGTAATAAAGGTCAAGTCAGTAGGCACATTGTTGCCTTCAACTATTCCTTTCTGGAGGTCTTTGTACTCAAGATTCCTGTGTTTCTCTTATGTATTCTAACTCTACAAATTGGTCACCTTTCCATTTTCACTGATAGGTGGTTTTAGTACTGACAAGAGCACTCACTGAGCATTCAGGAAATCTTAGCTGTTCATGACAGGTCATTCATGTTGTAGTGAGTTATTACTAAATTTAACATTTTACTTTTTAATTGAGCCAACAATATTTTTCTGACCAAAACCTAGCACCTTTTCACTTTTTATTAACTCCAGCATTAACAGTGTGCTTCTTTTTCTGGATCACATTTTTATAAGGAAGCACAGTGTTTATTACCAATATCTGATAATAGTACAGAACAACAAAATTGCATTGAGACATGGTTATTGGGTGATGGGTTAGGCAATGAACCTAGCCAATTGACTGTTTCTACACACCTCTTGTCTGATTTAAGTTTGTGGCCATACAAAACTACTCCTAACAAATCATGGATCTTTGGAGGTATTTAAAAATAGAAAAAGGTTTGGGGTGCCTCGGTGGCTCAGTTGGTTAAGTCTGACTCTTGATTTCTGCTCAGGTCATCATCTTGGGGTCATGAGATCGAGCCCTGAGCCCCGAGTCTCGGGCTCCCTGCTCAGCAGGAAATCTGCTGGAGATTCTATCTCTCCCTCTGCCCCTCCCCTTATTCTCTCTCTCAAATAAATACATAAATCTTTAAGAAAAATAGAAAAAAGATTAAATCCACAAATTTTTAGTTTAAATATATCAGAGGTTCTACTGTATGTGTGTTACTTGATATTTTCTGTTATCTGTATTGGTATCTTTCAAACTGTATTCCATAGTTACCATGGTTATTCTTTGTGTATTTTCTGTATTTGGGTCTGTAGTTCCAGTAGAATGTGATTTTGCAGGACTTCATTTACAATCGGGATTGTTTTTAGTGCTTTACACTTGAGACTGAAAAACAGAAATGCTAAAGTCTTTTTAACTCCTGTTCCTTGGAGAGTTCACTTATGTGATCTTGAAAAGTAAATTATTCTCTCAGTCCTCAGTCTTTCTTTCCCTTTAGAAATTCAAGGGAGATTTTTGATTCTGAGGTAAAAAATCTGTCTCGTAAGTGTAGAGAACATTTATACTTATTAGTAAATGTGTCTAAAGTGTTTCCACCAAACTGTTTTAAACTGTAACTGCTTTCAAGGGACCAGAGGGAAGAGAGCACTTTGCCAGTCCTGCTAGAAAGCCCTGCCAGCTCACAAGTCAGGCCTGCAAGATGAGAATCTCTCCACTTTGTGGGAATTAAACCCCCTTTTATGGGTTGTTTGAATAAGGCTGACATTCTGTTTGTAAAAGAAAGAGTTGAAAAATTAGTGTATTGAAAAAACAATTCTTCTAGAGGGTGTTGGGGGCTCAGTCATGTTTCATGCCTAGAATTACAGCTTGACAATGTTCAGATCCTTGGGCAAGAAGTTTTTCTGAATTCCGAGTTTCAAAGAGAAAAATGGTTTTTTACTTTGAAGTAAACTCCTAATGTGAATACCTAAGTGTTAAGTTACAGTCTGAAGTCGTAAGGTTACTGTTTGATGCATTTAGGTTAGTGGTAACACACACCCTTGGGGGACCCTGAGACCTGATTTTCAGGCCTGCAAAATCAGAACAGTTTTATAAGAATACTATGCTATTGGCTGGTTTCACTGTGTTGACATTGGAACGGATGGTTGTAAAAGCATTGGTGGTTGAAATTGCTGCTGCTTTAGCACGGATCAAGGCGGTTGTGGCAAATTGGCTTTGTGAGCATATGTTTTACTGCCAAGCGCTGACAAAAAAAAAAGCGCGCCAATTTCAAATAAAAATGTTCTTGGAAAACCAGCAAAAATTATGAAATTAAATATTATTAAATCTTGACCTTTGAGTACACATTTAAAAAAATATTCTTCGTGGCAAAGAGGGAAACGGAAGTATGCACAAAGCCCAGTGACTGCATCCTGAAGTATACTGATTTGTCTTGTGCTAAAGCCATTTATGTGATTGTTTGAGCTACAAGCTGAACTAGCTGGTTTTTCAAGAAATCCCCTTTTTACTGGAAGGAATGTCTGGCAAACTGTACTTCCATCTTGGGTATTTGGTGGATGTTTTCTTAAAAATAGACAAAACAGTTGTTGCCACTGATAAAATTAGAGCATTCAAGCAAAATTTAGAATTAGAATTTTGGGAAACTTTTATCTTTCTGCTGTCACCTTGAACTTTATCGCTTATCAAAACTTAGACTTTTTGATAAAATTGGAGATATTAAGGAATAGGACTTTTGATACTGTATAATAAAACTTGTGAGCATTTGAAAAACCTGCATAACTCGGTGAACCAGTATTTTCCAATTGGTCAGTGAATGATGTTAGGAAACCGTGCATAGGTAAAAATCCATTCAAAGTGCAAGACAGACAACTGGAATTTAGTATAACAGAGTATGAAAAATTCATTGATTTTGGCTTCAGATTCTGCGTTGCAACTCCAATTTAAGAAACTCAAGTTTTGGTGTAGTATCAAAGAAGAATTTCCACAATTATGTGAAAAGGCTATGAAAATGCTCATCCTTTTTCATACTATTAGATCTGCATGAGGCTTGATTCTTTATATACTTCAACCAAAACAGTGTATCGCAACTGGTTGAATACGGAAGCAGTTTTCTAATATTCAATTAAAGAGATTTTTCACAAAGAAAAAAATAATGCTTCTCAGTAATTCTTTTTGGAAAATAAAGTTATTTCCCACATTAACTTCTGTTAATGTGTAATATATTCTATTGCTTTAAAATGAAATAACAAATATGTATTTTAAATTTTCTGTTTGTATTTCTGACTTTACATATATATGTATTTATATATATATATATCATATAAGCAAAAGCTTTGGACTCTTCAACCATTTTTATTTATTTTTTTTTATTATTATTTTTTTTTTTTTAAAGATTTTATTTATTTATTTGAGAGAGAGAATGGATAGAGAGAGCATGAGAGGGGGGAGGGTCAGAGGGAGAAGCAGACTCCCTGCTGAACAGGGAGCCCGATGCGGGACTCGATCCTGGGACTCCAGGATCATGACCTGAGCCGAAGGCAGTGGCTTAACCAACTGAGCCACCCAGGCGCCCTCTTCAACCATTTTTAAATGTAAAGGCGCAAGACTGAAAAGTTTGAGAATGCTATTTTAGGCAATAGTGATAATGGTGATATGTGTTAGTCTGCTATGCGTAGTGCTTTATATATATTATCACATTTAATCTTAGGGATTATCATCCCCATTATTTAGTTGCAGAAACAGACTTTTAGAGAAATGAACTTGCCTAGGGTTACACAGTTAGTAAGGGACAGAGCTGGACTTCCAACCTGGTGCCTGTCTGTCTCTTGTTAAAAGTTCTGTTTTTTATATACTGTTGTATACTCTACCAGGATCTAATGTATACTTTAACATAGATTTATTTTGCAAAGAGCATAAACAATGATCTTCTACTGTTTATCAGAACAGTTATTTGAGATTGACACTACAGATGAGGATATTTTTATTCCTTGCAGATGAGAGTATTCTGCTAAACTATAATATATTGCTTAGAGGAGTGTAAATTGCCATAAGTTTTCTGGAAGGAAATTTAGCAGTGAGTGTTGAAAATCCTGAAATGTTTGGATGTGTTTTGCTCTAACAATTCCACTTGTAGAAATATTTCCTCATGAAATAATCGAGGAAATGCACCCTGATGTATATTACATGATATACATTGTGGCATAATTTGATAGAGAAGTAATTCAGAAACTATTTAGATGTCCAAGCATAGGAGATTGGTTAAATTGATTATGACTAATTGAATTAGTCATTATAAATTATGTATAATGGACTACTTACTTGTAGCTACTAAGAATGATGGCTTAGATATTATTGATATAAATTGTATACAATATATTGTTTAGATGGTAAAAGCAGTTTGAAAACTATATAAAAATATATTTATAGTTCATTGATATGTTGTAGAAATATAGAGAAAAATCAGGAGGTTTATACATTAAATTGTTGGCAGTGGTTATCTCTAAATGGTGAGGCTGTGGGAGATTTTTATTTGCTTTGTTTGGCTGTTATTTTCAGATTTTTAATTTAAAAAGTTAAAAAATGTAATAGCAACCATGAGCCACAAGAAGGGCTAGCATAGCTTGTAATTGATATTAAAACTCAATTATCTAAGCCCTGTCAGTTTTAGTGTTATAGGCTTTTTATGGTTTTGGTAAGTGAATTATAATTTGAAATTAACTATAATCTGTTTGTTGCAGCTTGTATATGAATTTTTCATACGATTTTTGGAAAGCCAAGAATTCCAACCCAGCATTGCCAAAAAATACATAGATCAGAAATTTGTATTACAGGTAAGCAAAGTTTTATGGTTGCATGCATTCGTTATTCAGTTGATAACACTTTACCTTATTTTCTCTTGATTGTTTAAAAATCTTTCAGTGGCAGTTTTATCACCTTTTAAGCAAATACTGCATATATAAGTTAGTTTCCATTATTGCCCATTAAAAGTAATAGGTATTTCTTTATTGTTTAGTTTATCACTGGAAATTAATTTCATTTCAAACAACAAGGAATGCTAATGCCTAAATCCCTGCAGTTTTCTTTCTTAAAATTTAATTATAAAGGAATTTCATTTATAGGACCTCTAGTTGGTGTGAATCTTTGTGTAGCTTGGAAACTCCTATCTGCATAAGGATTCTTAAGTAACTATTGCACAGATCTGTTAAAACTGAAAAAGCATGGTCTAGAGCATGAATAACCTTCAACAAATAATCAAAATCAGATACTGGTGAGCTTTCACAGCTAGGAAACAGCACTGCTTACTTAACACCTTAAAATTCCTTTAAAGTGATTAACTCTCACCTATCTGTTTGGAACTTCTCAGGGTGTGTATTCTTCTTGATTTGCCATTTTACATTTTGTAACTGTAGACCACATCTTCCTTTTTACCTGGGACTTGGGAATGTTCATGACATTGAATTTTTAGGTAACATCTTCGTGCTCTTATTGTTGACATTCATCTATAAAAGTGGGTACTTGAGCCAACTGGTGTGTGGACTATTGTAGCTCCTTTCTAAGTGATTAATGAACACCTCATGTCAAAAAGAATAAATATCTATCTCCTAGTGAGCCAGTAAGCAGAACTTCAAATTTAAAACATTATTTTGGCGGGAAGTTGATCCTCCTATACCTTACCTGGATAAAGGTTGATAGCCTTTGTGATGACTCATTTCCCCTCCTTAATTCAATTAATAAATTTAGAATTTTGGATATATTAGGTAGAGAGGCTTTGGAAAAGTGAGGTTTTAGAAAAGAGGCTTTGGAAAAAGAGACGTAGGTAAATAGGTGGATACATGGAGCATTGGGTAAATAGGTCGACTGATCCAGATTCTTATACCAAGGAGGCAAAATGCATTTCAGACAGAGAGGCAACATGTGACAGGTCTGTGTTTTGTATTGGAAAGTCCTTGCATTTATATAGCACTGTATAATTGTCAGAGCATCTTTACATGCATTATTTACTTTGTACCATAATCTAAAACAGATGTGGCTAAATTTCAGGCCCACTTTATAAGTGAATAAACTGAGGTCTAGAAACTTTGTCAAGTTTTCCCAAGCACATTTCCTATTCTGATTTTCTGTCCATTATGTCATGATGCCTCTTTGTGATTCCCCTCACTATAAACTTGGAATGACTTCAAGGCAGGAATAGCCCTCACTTCTCAACACTAATGAAATACTAAGGTTCCCTTATATTTATGGTATATCAAAATACCCAAGAGGATCAGATAGTGAAGCCTATGTTTAGTTTACATGGAAACAATAAGAACAGGGATCTTATGATGAAGCGTTTTCTTTACATGAAAAGCATGCAGGGCCCAACTCACTGTGTTCTTCGTGGTAGATGGGTACTGATGATAATAAAGCTCATAAGATTAAAACATCAGAGAAACCCAGACTTGAAAGGGATGTTTTGGGTTGTCTGTTCTAGTTCTGTGAGTTAGTCTCCTTTGAGACCCAAGAAGGAGTGACTCCCATTTACTCTTTTTTAGTGAAGAAGGACCATATACCTGGGCAGATTGTTCTGATTTTGTTAGAAAGTTCTTTATGTTGAACCTCCTTATACCTTGTAGCCTTTGGCCTTATTTCCCCAGACTAAGTCCTTTAGTATTAACTAGCTCGGACATAACGTTTTAGGTCTTAGAACACAGCACTTGTGTTTACCTCTTGGCTTTTTTCCCTAGGAACAGGAGTAGCAGCTCAAATGCTTGTAGGCTCATTTATGACAAGTTGGTGACCAGGTGTCAGACACTAGGAGGTGGACAGGTTTCTATTAAATGGTGCTTTGGCTGCCCCTCTTCTTTCAGTTATTGTTAGACTTTTTTCCCCCTCAAGAGAAACAAATCCAGATTTTTATGTGAAATGTTCTGATGAACCAACCCGATTTGCCTTCCGGATCTAGCTTAGCAGCTGTCAGTGTGCATTCTCTGCTCTAGACTGCGTTCTTACTTCTGTCAATCCTGTCTCATTTGTCTGTTTTGAAAGTCTTCAACATGTGTCCATTTGTCTTTAAAAATGATGTCTATGTCTGAACATAGTGCCCTGAGCCTGGTCGGTCCAGCACAGCCTAGAATTGGGTTCCCCATTCCCTTGTGTGTGTGGATCTCTTAAAAGGGAAGTCTCATTAACTATTCTTGCTGCTCCGTGGCACTATTAACTTGTGTTAAGTCTGTGGTCTTTAACTGATTTCTAACTTAGCTTTGTGCATGGCGTTGTAAAGCCGTGTTTTCTTTTGTTTTTGTTCATTGTACAGTTTGCCTTTTAATCTGAGTGTAGGGTTTGACATATATTCCTGCAGAATATAATTTCTTTCCAGCCTTTTGAAGTCTTTCTGGATCTTGAGGCGGTCATCCACTGTATTCACTGTGCCTTCCGTCTTTATCACATCTGTGACTTTCTTAACTGTGCCAGTAGCTCTTGGCTTCGTCTCAGATCATTGGTTAAAATTGTTAGAATAGCCAGCACTGGTGACCGAGGCCTTTGGCATGTCTTTAGCAACTTTCCTCCGTTTAGAACAGGTTCATTAATCAGCAGTCTTTGGATTCCATCCTTGAACCTGTTATAAATTTACTCTAGAGTAACATCATCCTTCTTACATTTTAAAATTTTGTTCAGGGTGCCTGGGTGGCGCAGTCAGTTGAGCGTCTGACTCTTTGGTTTCTGCTCAGGTTGCGATCTCAGGGTTGTGAGATCGAGCCCTGCGTTGGGCTCCGTGCTCAGCGCAGAGTCTGCTTGGACTCTCTCTTCCTCTCCCTCTGCTCCCCGCCCCTAATAAATAAATAAGTCTTTTAAAAAAATGGTTAAAAATTTTGCTGTTGTTGTTCATAAGGAGAGTGTAGACTCTGTCAGATGCTATGGTAGAAGCCAGGACTTTGTCTTTACAGCATCCCCTCATCTATGGGCCTTGGGACTTTATCATAAAAAGAAATGCTGTTCATCTGCCTTGGGACATTAGTGAACTTCTGGGGGCTACTGTTATTTATTGGTAATGTTTCCCCAAGTACTTGCAATCCATGTGATTGATCGTCTGTCTCCGAGTTTCGCCAGACAAGAAACCAAGTTTACATAGTGAGTCCGTCTACTTATACTTTATGTTTTCAGCCCTTGCCTCATTTTTACAACCTTTGCATCTTTTACCTTCCCTCTGCTGGGTCTGTTGATGAACTTAACCTTCACACCAGGGATCCCGGCAGTTCCTGAATCAGTCAGGAAAGGGATAGGCAGGGTATTGGCAAAACCAATAACACCACTGGGTGGTACTTGAATGTAATCATTTGACTAACCAGAGCATTACCTGTCATGTTGGGGATAAACCCTGGGTGCCGATTAGCTGCCATTTTCCAGAATACCCTGTTCATTCATGTTGGTAACCTGTAAAGTTGGTCTCCTGCCCCTTTTCCTACCCTTTAGTCTACTGATGACTTACCTGAGATCCCAGCCCCTTCTAGGAGTGGGGTCTCAATCCCCTAGGTAATTTTCCTGAGCTTCCTTCCTGGGACATTTGTTTCCAACTTGGGACCTGCTTGGCCTTTTGGAGCTTAAGGCATTGTTGCTGAGATTCTGTCCTGCCCCTCCCCACCCTCCTTTTCCTCCTGCCGCTGCACCTTACCTGTCCCTGAGCTGGCAGCCCCTTCATCTGTGTACCCTGTAGTCAGCTCGTTCATTATTTACACCCCCACTTTCCCCCTGCTTGTCTCTCTCCCCACAGCCTCCCGTGATGCCATCTAGTCCTGGTGTGCTTTGTATTTAAGCCTGGTTTTCTTATGACGTGGGAATCCTCATTCCTTCCCCTCTTGCAAATCGGGATGACACTGACTGCATTCTTTTTCTTTGAGCAGATTTTTTATTCTCTGTGCATTCTCAAAAGGAATTTTGGTGATCTCAAACTTAAAACTTTTTTACTTAGTTAGATACAATTTATTCTAGCCATGAGATTTAAACCTTATTTTCTATAGCAGCTAGCTGTATTCGTTACAGTCTATTCTGACTCTCATTTCTCCTGTCAGTAAAGACAAAAGCAAAATAAGAATTGAGTTATTTCAACATGATGTAGTGGAAAGAAAGTTAACAAGCTGTGGATTTGCATCCTGACTCCTCTGTGTACTCTAAGTAGTATGTATTATAGGAGCTAAGAATATGTGCTGTGGAGTAAGAAGGAACTGCATTAAAACCCTGGCTTTTCCACCTACTTGGCAATGTGGCTTTCAGCCAATTAATATACTCGCTGTCCAAGCTTGAGTCTCCTCATTTGCAACATGAGGAACAGGAAAATAGGATGTACCACCAAACTGACCGTTGTTAAATCTGCTTAATTGAGTTGGCACTATGGATACAAAGACAGGCTCCCTCCCTTCACTTGTAAATAAGTACTTGAAAACTTGGGCACATATTTTACTATTCTGAGCCTCAGTGTTTTCTTCTGTACAATGGCCATAATGGTGACCTCTCTTAGAAGTTACAACAAAGTAGGCTTGTTATGATGATAAAATGACATGACTTGTAAAAATGTCTGCTGGTATCATGGATGGATTATAATAGTTGCTCATTAAATACTAATTCCTTTTTTTATACACTCCTCATACTATATTATCTCCCCACATTAGTGGGATATCTTATTTTTCTTGATTCTTATTAATTTTAAAATCTCCACCTTTTGAAATGAAATGTAAAAGTTTTTGTGAAACTTATAAGAAAATTTTGCAAAGAAGCCTTGAATAAATAACATATTTGTAGATGGGAAATTTGCCATCATAAGGATAGTCATAGAATCTCAAGTTAATTTATACATTTG